TAATTCAGCAGCACCTTAATTTATTTTCAGTCCTACAAGGGATACTTTTTATCCTCTTCTGACAAATAAATATTTTTGACTGCTGTTTTAATGATCAGTAAATATGATGGACTACAGGCACAGCACTTTGTTCAGGTAGGTATATGGCAATGTATATTCACAAAAACACATAATATATTATTAATAGAATTGATGATGCAAATATGCATATTATAGAAAACAATTTAATGAATATGTCAGTAATCCAGAAATATATATAATATACATATTTCCATGTATATCCCCCCATACATTTTTTTATGGAAGCACATTAAGGATCAGTTACTGATTGGCACTTGAGTAAGCAGTTTTATGCATTGAATCACTTTCAGAATAGTAGTCAGATTAACTTCTGTATGTCTTGTTATTCTGTTTAATCTGTTAGTCTCCATACTTAATTCTTAAGGTGGCTATTGCAGCTGCAAATCTTATTTATAAATGTTCATCACAGTATCTATGTATGTCCATACCTAACAGAAATTGCCCATGAGAGAGTTACATTTGTTCATTGAAACATTGATGTCTATATACTAGCTAATGTTAGACAAATTTAGAACATGAGTGCTAGCATATAGTTGGGTGGGACTTGAGAAAAATGTTTTCTCCAGTAAACATTGATATACAATACTGCAAAAATTACCTAGGATAAAATTTGGTATATAACTTCTAAGAACTACCACAGAATCTTTTGCATCTTTTTTAGAATTTTCATATTTTAAAACCAACCAACCAAAACATTTAGCATATGGAACATGTCTAGTGAAAACTTACTTCTGGAGTAGTGGAGTAGATGCTGTATACTAAGACACCTTGTAGTTCAAGGAGTAACTAAGCAGAATCTGGAAAATGTGATTAAGGCAGAAAAGAAAACAAAGTATCTAAAGGGTATTCACAAAGATTAGCTAAATTCACTTGTCACAGAATACCAGCAATGAAGAAAGAGGGAAGTTCAGTGAGGGGATTCTATCTGACATCCTGTATTTCAAATAAAGCAAATAAAATTGGTTAAAGCTGGTGGGCATTTTTTGGAAGAAGTCCCCAGTGGAAGAGATGCCTTGAGAAAACTCCCTATTGATTAGAATTACATTTCTGTGTATGCCAACACAGGAAGCAGGTGGCTTTTTGACTCCAGGTTTATAACTACCACAAATGAAGGACTACATCACCAAAATAATCATAATCAAACACGTGCCAGTGTTGGCTTGGGCTGTGTGTCACAGTTTGCTTTCCAACCACACATTGCTAATAAAAGATGACATTTTGCACTGGTGCTTTGGCTCTGAAAAGTGCTACAGAAGAATAGGGGCATAAATATACACGTCATTACTTTTCAAGGTGCAAGGAGAAAAATTACTTTCTTTGTGGCCAAAATTTTATTTGGTAGAATTTTTACCTGAATTGAGAAGTAATTTTCTGAAATTTTGACATAACCAGATTTAACCAGGTAGTCTTAAAAGTTGTTCATTCTCCTTTCAGGAAATTACAACAGCTTTTTATAAGGCACTATATGAAAATGTATGTCTAAAAGACAAACTACTGTTGACTCTATGAATTATCAGTCAGAAAATGAATACAAGAAAGCAGAGAAATATGCAGCAGAAACAGCTGTGATTTATGCCAGTGCTGTTATAATCACATCACAGCACAGATTTTTTCTGAATAACTCAGTTTAATACTATGTGTACTCATATTTATCATAGGTCTGTGCAGACAGAGAAAGAATGTTTTTATCTAATTATGATGTTTGACTTGAAATACATTTAGCACAGATGACAGTTTTTAACCACTAATTTCAATTTACATAGTTAAGTATTATTTCAGGATTAAATGACAGCAAACAAGGAAACAAGCCTACATAGGGTTGTAAGGCTTTTGTCTGGAAATCATAAACTTAATGAGAGCCATTATCCCCTATACACTTGTTCATGAAGACTGGGGGTGAGTTTGGGGTTTAGAAAATTTGTGAAATTTTGACTGCAATTGGTCAGGGAATGTTGGAAAAAATCTATTCATTTACTTGAAATGGGAGAGGAATAAAGAATTTAAATATTGTTGCACTGCTTAAATAACTGGAACATTTGAATAACTGAATAACTGTTAAAATCATGAGTACAAGAGCTCAGCTTCCTTCATTTCAGTTTATTAGTAATTATGCACTTTTAAAGACAATTCACAGTCAATTCATTCGTAATTAAGAAAGAAAACTTAAAATACCATGAGCACATAAGTATAAAACTGAAATTGCCTGAAGATTTACTGAAGATACCACTGCAACAAAATATTAGACAGGACTTCTCAGAAACTATTTTGTTTCCAAAACATGAAAATGTCATAAATAAATAAGAATTTTAAAGATTTAATAATGTTTAGCAGATTTTTCCTCCAGGTATTTGTCCAAGACCTTCTGTGAATTCATTAAAATATCTTGCATCTGCAGGGTTATTCTCTGAGTTACTCTGAGAGAAATACAGAATGAACAGTTCAATCTGTTCATGAACTCTATAAAATACGGTTTTAAGTTAATTTTTACCCAAAAAGGAGTGGTTGAATTTGGTATGAGCAGTAGCAAAATAACAGAAGATAACAGGTACAGGAGGAGGACCAGGACCACTAAGATGATCAGAGGGCTGGAGCATCTCTTTCATGAAGGCAGGCTGAAAGAGTTGGGGCTGTTGAGCCTGGACAAGACAAGGCTCCAGGGGGATCTTTTTGCTGCTTTTCAGTACTTAAAGGAGGCTTATATAAAAATGGAGAAAGAACTTCTACCAAGGCCTACAGTGACAGGACAAGGGACAATGTTTTTAAAGTAGAAAAAGGTAGAGTTCAGATTGGACCTAAGAAAGAAATCTTATAGGATCAGGGTGGTGAGTCAGTGGAACAGGGTGCCCTATGGAGCTGTGGATATCCTGTCATTGGAAATGGAAAGACGGTAGTTTGTACTGATTTTTTTCAAATACAAATTGCAAAAAATCCTAGAAATTATAAATAATTTTATGTAAATATTGTTTTCACAAATTGTATGACATTTTAAATAACGTTTTTTTCTTTAATACTGAGTATGTTAATTCACAGAACACTTGCTAGGACTATTGCATACCCTTAATTCACAAATGTACATGTAAATACTACTAAGATAGGTACGACTGAATTAAAAGTGTACGAATGTTTTCCTTGTCCCGAAAAATGGAAACAATTTTTCATTGTTTTTTCACTTTTTTTTTTTCTTCATATGAACTTCATAAAGTGGGAAAATAACATTTTTAGCTTAAGAGGTCTTGTTTACATTTCAGTATATATGAGATTAGCAATATTGTTGAAGAACATTGCCAGCATAGACACAACTTACACTTGTCATTATCATAATAAAGATATCTGAATAAATTTTTGGCTGAGAGCACTACAATCATCATCTTTCCACAAACTGATGGAGACTAGGTAACGTTTTTCCTATTTGAGCACTCACTAAAATGTGGTTGATACACTTAGATTTCAGACATTTCACCTTATGGCTTGTTTAACAATTTTAATTGCAGCAGTCACTTGGCAACAGATTATGTTGTTTTCTATTGTATTGTTTCTTTTCTTTTCTAATGCAATTGTCATCCTTATCTCACACTGCCTAATGCCTGATTACCTAACAAAACAATGGCCTTTTCTTTTTATTCATGGTGTAATGCTTTATTCTAACATACAATACACTACGGTACATATAATACAAGAAGTAATGGGTTCAAACTGAAAGGGCAAAACTGAAAGGGTACATTTAGGTTAGGTACACAAAAGAAATTCTTTATTATACATTATTATACTTTTATATATAAAAAATATTATTGGAGGGTGGGGGAAACCCACTTTTTTTTTACAGAGCTACTGCATTTTAATTCTGTTGTACTGGTATTTTAGTGTAATACCTTCTAAACTGATAGTCACGTTTCACTGATGAATTATACAAGATTTGCTTAACAAAAAGAAACAAGGTTATGTAAGTGTTTGAATTTAAAATTCATCACTTTGTGCAAACAAACAGAATGGAGTGGGAAGAATAAAAGGGTTTGGATTAGTGGAGTAATGAGGTGGGAAGGGTTGACTTCAGATACAGCACAGGAACAAATTCTGGAGTCAAAAGGGCATTTTCAGCAGTTGGTGGTGGCAATGCTGCAGCATTTCAAAGGAAAACAGGTATTGAAGAGAAGTGGAACTCAGAATAAAGATTTCACTCAGAAGAAAGATTCTACCATTATCAGCAGTGTCAAATAGTAGCAGTAAAAGCCTGAGCACATACTAAGACTTGCCAGCAATTAGTGCAAATGTCAACATATGACATATTCAGGGTTTTGGTGTTTTTACTGAGACTTGGACGTGCAATAAAACAATATGGAAATTGATTCCATACTATCTGCTTGATAAAGCAAACTCTTTACTGAGGTTTTTTTAAGGCTGACAGGAAAAGCTGATGGGTGAGATATTTAGATTATGGTTGGTTTTTCTTTTTACAGATGCCTGAACAATAATAGCTAAAATATAAAATGGGAATCGTGGAATTGCTATAATAGCACACATTCCCTCCCATGAAACAAGAGAAGAGAATGGAAGATTATTTTCAAGATCACAGATGAGACTGAAACCAAGAAAGTTATCTTTTCTCAAAACCAAGGACACACCAGCAAAACAAACCATCAAGCTGAATCAGTGCGAGCTTTTATGTGAAATTAAAGAATAAAGATCTGATGCTTGTTTCAGATTGGTATCAGTATTGATTTTTCAATACCAAGCAAATAACAGAATACTATTTCTCACATAATTAGAAATCAGTCTCGATTTTAAACTAAAATATGAGAGATCTTACAAGAGATAATCTGTTTCTATAACAAAGAGAAGGACAATTTAAGCATGTACTACTTATCTCAAAATATTAGAAATTACAAGGAATAATAAGTGTGATGGAAACTTTAGAACTTAACCTTTGTGGCAGCATCAAAACAAACAAAGCCCATGCTGAAGTCGATGGTAAGTCCCATAAGATGACTCTCTAAAACACAGGCATACGTCTTGCACTGTAAAAGAAAATTCAGAGAAGGTAGTTACCACAGAAGAAATTTCTTAAATGTTTTTCTAGGACCACTGTTTCTGAGCCTGTATTCTAATGTTTATATACCTCAAAATTATTATCAGAAATAAGTCATTTGTGTGTAAATATATCAATTTTTTTGTATTTCAAATAAAAGGATTTTTATCAGTGATGAAGTTATCTAACACATATAAAAACAGGCTTAGCTTCCATTTAGGGAAAAAAATGAAAGGTTCAGAATTGCCTCAGTGGCTTACTAGTAACATTTTCTAAAAGGAAAAATTTATTATTTTTAAACCTCCTTATTCTTTTTTTCATACCCAACAACTTTTAAGATTAATATATTCCTTTTATCTTTTCAAGAAAAAAAAAAGCTCATATAAAGCATCTCTTTAGTACATTGTTTCTTGTGGTTTTCTGTTGTCCTAAATCTCAGGGAAAAAGCTAGTATTTCATACCATTTAGCAGTTAGATGGAATTATCTGAATTTTTTTTTTTTTTTTTTTTTTTGCTTCAGATAGATGATCAATATATCAATATATCTCAAAGGTTCCTTTGGAATTCTGTAAGACTTTATCATTCTACTGTTTTTAAATATACACTTCTATTTATTGCCATAACATCACACTTGAATACACACTGTGAGACATTTATAAGTGTAATTTTTAGCATCAAGCTGTGCTTGAAAGCTGACTGCAGGTACAAAATGACAGATGACAGACTTGTCTTTTTCATCACAAAATACATAAAAAAAATCAAAACATTTCCAAATCAGATTCAAGTTCTTTAAAGAAATTATTCTTATTTTATAGGCATTTTGCCCTCCAGATTAAATGAAATACAGCTATACTCTTCAAATATTGCTGTAGCTGCTAAAATTATGAAATGAGAACAAAGACTTCCATGACCTATAGTGTGTCAGCAAAATCAAAATATAAATTGCAAATGTGGGAACAATGTGGGTTACAAATTGTAAGTACTACAAAAGAACCTATGATTATTTTTGGCATTTTGATTATAAAGATAAATCAGATGCCTTTACGCATATATTCTTTTTGTAAGGGGGTGCTGTTTGGATCCTTAATGGTCTTCCACACAACACAAGAAGCTGGAAGGTGTATTAACAGGTTCTAAATAGAAAATCCAATGAAGGAAAATTGAAAACTTCATACTTAGTGTTTATATTAACAAATAAAAGTGGCTTTTTTTTTTCCTTTGATCAGCTACACCATGAGACTGTTATGAATGTATAAAATTTGATTGTAAATCAGTGCTGAAAAAGAAGAGGATATTGCCTTTGGTATTATCTTATTAGTAGAAGAAAAAAGTGTAAAGTAATACATTTCACAGTTACTTATAGTTAATTAAGTCGCAAATGCAAAACTTTTCAAGTTTTTCATGCAAAGCAAAAAATGCACGGTTTTGTGGAATTATCTCGCAAACATCTTACAAGATGCAAATTGCATTTTTATTTGTAAATGTTAAAGATCTGGAACAGACTTAGAGCTTTTACTGGAAATTAAATTTGGCATGGAAAATGCATATCAGATTTAAAATACATATTGTCATCTAAAGTTTTCGAACCTCCCACCCCAGCACCAGAGGCCAACCCACAGTGTGCACTGCAGCACCATGCTGAGCTGGCACAGCTCCCTCTGCTTATAAACCCAGAACTTGGACTGGCTAATTAGCCTCACTGGGAACTTAAGATTCATGAGAAACAGAACACACCAGCCTTGGTTCAAGGCTGTACTGAAAAAGCAACCTACTTCCAAGACTGAAGGGTATTTCTACAAAATGCAGTGCTCAGTTTGTGGAGAAATATCATCTAGTTCAGCGTAGTTCTTTGCAGGAAGAAACTGCAGATCACTAGTAGCAGCTGATTATTTAGTTATTCTTCACTTATATAAAAGACCATTCTACACCCTCAGACTATGATTTCCAAAACAATTTAGAGAAGAAAAAAAGTGAAAATAATAAAAAGATCTCTGGACAGTGAGAATTTAGTTTCCTTGGGGAAGAATGTCCCTTGGTTTTTGCAGGTGGTGTATCCATTTGCACAATTCTGGTGACAGGTCAGAGTAGTGATGTGAACTTTCAGACAATGGTTAACTCTTGCAAGACTTTTCTCATCTTTATTTTCTTTAAGTTACTTTTTAATTCAGATATTTGGAGAAAACAGAAAGGCAAAAATTGTTATCAAGGTACAAGATAATTTAAAATTTCTTATAGATTTAATATTTTAAAATTTTAAAAGTGACTATGAATAATATATACTGTGGATATTTGGCTTTGGTTGCTGATTTCTCACAAGAACTCATGATAATCTCATCAGAACTGAAGCATCCCCTTCCCAAAAGAAGCAGAACACACTTCAGCAGTCATTTGCTGCTCTTCCTCAGAATACAGAATGTTAACTTTGGTTTATTAATAATTCAATGGGTCAGGCAGAGGCTGAAGGAGACAACTCGAAGTTGTTCCTGAGAAACTATTCCTTCAACATGCACAGTTTAAATTATGGAAAGAACAATATATTGTGAACTTCACGTAAGCCATCTCTGAGGCTGAAAAAAAGTGAACTATAAATCTAAGGCTTAATTCAGGCTTTTAAACTCAGATTCAACTTCAGTGAAAACATAAGTTGAAGTACTGCAACTTAAGACAGCTTACATAACAATCCTTACATTAGAGAACAAACAACTACAATACAAGCAAGGACAACAAGAAAAAAATTCATGATGCAAGAGGTGAAAATGTTAGCTTAAAGTAGCAGGAACACAAAGGGAATGTGAGAAGCATATGTATATAATTGCACATCATTATGCAAGTTATAGTATTCTCAGGTTCTTTGTGCAACAATGCTGTGAGAGAGTAAGGAAAAAGGATTTTCATTTCAAGTAATTTTTTTTGAATAGTAATTATGAAAATGGATTGCCATCACTTACTACATTACAAAACTAATTAAAGAGTGAGTTTAACACACGAAAATGACACCACTGTATCATTGTACCATGTTATTGCTAAATTATTATCAATTTGACTATACCTCTCCTAATATATTTATTTTCTAAGAAAAGCCAACTGTTTAATTTTTAGTTTAGATATACCTCTGGCAGAAGCTATGAATTAGGTTGAAACAGAATTCATTATATATTTATAGTAATGCATTTAAAAATATTTGAATTTTTTATATATATTCTTTGGAGTTAGAATACTGATTAACCTCTTCTCGAGGTTATAGCCAATGAATAAGAGGTACTTGTTGCATGATTATGGAGTACCACACAACACAGTTGAATATTTTTAAATGGTAGTTTTAAACTGAAATTATATTTTCAAAGTTATATTATTTTATCGTAAGACAAACCTACTGGATTATCATTCACTTTAAATATGAATATTCAGATCAACACAATTGCATAAATCAAAATTTTAGTAAAAATGTACCATTGATACTTTAATTTTGAACCTGTCAATATTTTTTCTCACAGAGCAATGAAAGAACTTCTTAGAAACAAAGTATGCCACCAGATTTTATCTACATCTGCAGGTTGGTGGATGAAAGCAGTAATGGATTGCTAAAAGAAAAATGAGGAGGCCAAACCCATTTATATTTAAAATATTCCATATTTTTTTCCAAATCAAGATATAGAAAATAAAGTAAAAAAGGTGAAATAATGAGTGTGAGTTCCACACTCAGTAATATTCTATCTTGAGAAGCCTGTTTTTCCACTTTCACAGATCTGCTATAATCAACCAACCAATCAGGAAATCATTACTTTGAGTTCTTAATTACTACATTGAACATGAGGAGAGACAAAAAAAAAAAGATAAAAATATTAAGATGAATCTGGGGTTAAGATTATAAAGGAAACTATTTTGGAGAAGCCTGAAGGCAATTTTGAATAAATGCAATTCTAAAATTCAAAAGAAAAAGCTAAACCAGGAATGCTACAGCATAAATCAATCTGAAAGTAGAACAAATATGAGGTGGCTTCTGAGATAAAATTTATTCAGGAAAAATGTCATATATTCTTTTACTGATGGCACAGCAGCCCTACTATGCCACACAGCAGCCATACTATAAAGTATGTTGCAGTGAATTATATAAGTCAACAACTCTCAAATATTTAGTGGCAGAGGACAAACGCTATTGCAAGTTTTACCCAGAAAACCTAGTCTTAGATTTTCCAGCATGCAACTACAGCTTAAAAGATAAGAATAGTTTTTATAAAAGGTAACAGCATATATGAATTTAAAAGAGGAAAGCCAAGCCTCCCCTGACTCCTCTTGCAACAAAAGTACTGTGTGTTAAAACTGACAGCAGGGTAGTTTTTGCATATTGGATCTTCATGAGTATATACCAGTTTAGTGCATCTGCAAGTGGTGGCTTGCAGGTCAGAAAAGGGCTAATATATAACTAACTAACAGTTTGTCTGAATAAAAACATGCCACTGCTTGCATTCCCAGGAGGACACAGAAAATGTGTGAGCCAATACTTGCACAGCCTAATATATTAATATGGCTCGGGTAGGTGTGTATCACTCCTGCCAACAGCAACTAAAGCTGTTCTAACCACATGTATATTTCATTATTAGAAAATCAATATTACAATTGGGATTAGGTAAATTACAATTGTGGTGGGTGGCTTTTTTCTCCTTTTTTATGTCAAAAAGTCATGACTTTTTGGTCATGTGAGAAGAAGTTATCTTTAAACACTCTGATATGTAATTTTGCTATAAAAAGTCACTAGTAATCTGTATTTGAATGCTGTCCATCTCTGTGCTGTCACCTGACAATAGAGTAAATATACAAAGAACAGGAAATATGTGAAGAAAGAAAAATGCATCTGAGGTACAACTAACTTGTTCTTACTTGTATCCAGCAAGTACTTCACTCAGTATACTCTCATTCCTGGTATTACAAAGACTACTTAATTCCTGCAAATTTCACTTGTGATATTCAGTAACAAATAAGGTAGCATGTAAGCCAGTTAGAATATCTAAACACCTGCATTTTGTCTCTGATCCATAGATTGTTTTTCTGTCCATGAACTTCAGTTAACAAATATGTATCATGTTGTCATAATACCTCAAAGATTCTATTTCAGGTGACCTCTTCTGAAGGCTAGCTTGCAAGCTGGTTGGGAACAGCAAAAGCAATTACTTATATAAAACAGTAATAACTTGAGAGCTGAAAGGTCGTAAAATTCATTAATTTACATCATTATTTCATACGGGCCTAATTTGTTAATGTACCAAAAGATGATCAACAAGGCAGTTGTTCTCACCTGTATCCGTTCAACTTCTAAAAAAGTTGCTGTTTGGAAGGCTTTTTCCCATAGTGTTAGGTCAGACTCTAGTTCCACAGAAAAGTAAAGATCTTCTCCAGATTCAGACTGGACACTGAAGCAATGTTTCCGACGGTCCAGTAGATCACTGTCCTGATGAAAACCTGAAGTTATATAATCTGGCATACATCAATTAATATTTTTAATTGCAAACATTTATGCGTCAAACCCAGTATTTTTAAATGGCATTTTAAATGACAGGAATAACCACAGTCACTGAGGAACTGAAAATCAGGAGTTTGGTCTAAACATTGACACTTCAATGAATTTTAAAAAGGATGCCTACATTCAGAATGGTACAGAACAGCATATCTCCAGCAGAAACGTCAAATATTTTAACAAATCACTTCTCAAAAATGTTATCAGCTATACACTTTAGATTAGATGCATTCCATGAAAGTTTTCCACTTTCTATTCACATGAGGTACACAAATTTCAGCTTCTCTGACCTATTTGACTTATACACCCTACTCTGGAAGGTTGGTCAAAGGAATATATTTATTTTAAGAAGTATGAAAAGTCCATATGTTCTATTTTCTTTCTAGAGACTAAAGAAAACAAGTTCATCTTTCTGCAGGCTTACAAAATTAGTCTTTAAATGGATACTGCAGGTAGAGAGTATAGTGGCTGCCCATGGTTAGGTTGCTGGCTTTGGTCCTGAAGGAGAAAATTACTTTTAGCTTTACTTTCAAAATAACATCACATAATGGACATCGAGTTATAAATATTTAATAATTAATTATTGCTAGTATTTGTAATCAGTACTAAACTAAAGAATAAGGAAGTTAATCAGGAAATCCATTCATTAAAATGTATTCAATTTTTTTTTTAACTTTATTTATATAATAAAAAGGATGCTTTATGCTAAAATTCTGGCATGTAATTTGTTCTTGTGAAAAATAGGTTTGCAGAAACAGCTTTAATTAACTTAGTCCCTGCTACATCAAAGAAGTTGCCACAAGTCACAAGCTCACCAGCTGTTCTTGCCAATACATCTGGAGATTTGGGAACAAGTAGCCTGCATGCAATTTTCACAAAGTTATCCCATAGCAAAGGGCAGAGTTAAGTTGAGCAAAGCAGACTCACGGGACAGTACTGCCTTCTGGTTATACACAACTCGAATAGACCAAGGGGAGCACAACCAGCTGATACAAGCTGGAAGAGCAGCTTATATTGTTCAAGTCAGCTCTCCCTGGGGCAGAGAACCAGCAACCTAAAACTGATTGAGAACAAAATATATAAAACAGGAACCTGTCTGAAGCCATCACTCTCAGGTATACAAGTAGGCAAGGGGAGAACAAGCACTACTTTCCCCTCTCCATTCATTCAGCAGAAAAGTGACCGACCTGTTCAAGAAAGCCAGTACAGCAAGCATTCATGAATGCTTCTAGTTGAAGCGTCATTTACAATTTCTAGAAGAATTGGCTATGGAGGCATCATATCCTCTCTTTTCAATCATCTTGAAAAAACAAGTTACTATGATTTTAAAATGAGCAGTCACTGTGGAAAAATCTCCCTCCTTACTTTCTTCAAGTGCTCAGCTTAGTAGCTGTACAGTGTTTAGTCATGTATGAAAAAATCAGCATGAACATTTTTGATCTTAAAAGACAGCATTAAAAAAAAAAAAAAGAATCTTGTTCCATATTTTTCTTCCAAATATTCACAAAGACGTGTAGTTGAACCAGTTAGGTGTAGCTAAATAATATCTATGTCCTATCAGAAACATCTTTTGTATTTTTTTTGTATCTCTTTCCCCCCCTTTTTTTTCCTTTTTATTCAGGCCCTTCTACTAAAACTGAAGTGTTAATTCTGTTCACAGTATGTCCTGACCAGCATTCAAAATAGAGGTTATAATATCCAGGTTGTTGTTAATGACATCTATGCTCCATTGCACACACAGCCTCAAAGCACACAGAGCAGCAGCACTGTGACAAATGTTTAACCTTGTGGATATGTGTAGCAACAAAAGACAGCATCATAGAGTGGCTTGGGCTTGAAGGGACCTTAAAGATCATCCAACTCCAACCCCTTACGGCCATTGGCATTGAAACCTTTCACTTGACCAGGTTACTCAGAGCTTCTCCAGTCTGGCCTTGAACACTTCCAGGGATAGGACATCCATAACTTCTCTGGGCAACTTGTTCCAGTGCCTCACTACCCCCACAATAAAGAATTTCTTCCTAACATCTAATCTAAACCTATTCTCTGTCATGAGTACTGTCTCACATTCTGCCTTGTTTTGTCACTACATGCTCTTGAAAAGAGCCCCTCTTCATCTTTCTTATAGGATCCCTTTAGATACTGATAAGTTCACCCTGAAGCCTTCTCTCTTCCAGGCTGAACAATCCCAATTCTGGATGAGCAAAAGCACTGGAAAACCCTCACTCCTCCAGGGCAGAAAAGCTACTTCTTTTAGAAGTAGCACTTCTTGTCTAACAAATCTTAAAAAAGGATCTTGAACCCCCTGTGCTTCCAGAGCTAAACCTGATTGAATGGGCCTGTTAGCCCACAACCCAAAGGACCTCTTCAGCATGGAGTGTGGCAAGACTCATGTGTAAGGTACATGTATTTCCTGGGGAAGGTTTTAGTTCTTCATAGCTACAACCACAGAAGAAATTAAAAATATTTTGAACTCATCTTTACCTATTTATGTCTACAGTTAGTAGAGAATAACTAATTATTAGTAATGAAGCTTAAAGTTTTCTGAAACGTGAATGTGTGGGATCACACGAATCAATGACTTTAAAATAACCCCTGTTTTCAGAAGGGACAGAGCTTAGTGCATGGCTGAGTTTCAGAATGCATATCTCTATTTAGCTGGGCACAGCTAAGGTTTGATGCTTTTAAATTATACTCTTAGACTCTTCCAGTCTTATGGGGTTTTTTTTGTCTCCTATTGAGAAGAATATGCTGTCTAGGAAAAAGAGAAGAGGTTTTGCACAGACTGTGAAAAACAAAATGTTAGAAGTTTCATTGAGATTGATCTCTGTTAAAAAACACTTGAAAAATGCAAAAATCTCTGGAGGCTTTGAAGTGATTAAATAAAAACCTATGTATTTCATTATCAACATTGCCAGTAAGAATTGTATTAGATTTTATTAAGCATTACATCAAACCCAGATGATGAAAAGAAAGCTAAGTGGGATCTACAATAATTATCCAAGTTTTTGCTACTTATGTATGAAAATGAGAGTATGCTTTGATTTAGGAAAGACCTATTCAGTACTAGGTAGTATTTCCCCTCAGTGTTTTGCATATAAAAATTTAAGAATTTTTCATCCACTGCATTATACTGTGGCAAACAGCACACATAATGGACTCATTTATTATTGGAATTTCCATTCTGTGAAGTTCCTATTCAGAATGAAAAAAAATACAACATTTCCCCAGAAATAATAATTTAACTGAATAATATTTTCAATTTGTGATTAGCTCTAATGTATATACTTGTGATTTTGATATCATCATCAATGATTAGGCCCATGATAAGAGAACTGCAAGTCAAATACATCTAAATTATGTATTTCAGTTTTTCTAAAATTGCTAACATATATATGAAGTATTCCTTTCCTAATTAGTGGTATTCCAATCTACGTGTAAAAAAAGTTATATGCAAGGTTCCCCTTAGTACTGCTTCTGCAACTTTTTCTGATCTTTCTGCAAGATCTTTCTTTAGTTTTGCATTTCTTCTCAAGCATTAAAAATCTGTATTCCAGGTTTATAGAATGTAATAATTTGTGCAATAGATAACTGGACAAATCAATATGTAGGCAAAGCTAAAAGACAGCTATCTAAATGTCCTTATAAAGACAGGAATTTAAAGCACTTTTATTTTTTTTTAAGGAATCCAGCTGGAAGTTGTCCAAAAGTCTGCAAATTTAAAAAAAAAACCAAACTTGTCAAGAGTCTCAAAACCAGGCCTGGATGAAGCAGGAATCTTCATTAATTAACTTTTACCAAACCACTACTTCAATTAAAATATAAATGTCATTCTACCCATTTAAGAATCTGCTATTATTATATTCATTTAGCCAATGATGGACACAAGCCAATTTCATGTTGAGTTTTTAAGAACTTTTTCATACTGATAATGATTACAATGATAGTTGTACCATTTGCCCCTGATGCTCTCATTATGAATTAATAAAACTCTCTGAAGAGAGGCACACACAAAACTTTTAGCAGTGTGCTAATTCTCACTAGAGGGAATGTAGTCCTGCTGAAGGATGGGCTGTGACGAAAGACATTGGCTCACACCCAGCCACAGGGCAATCCAGCATCTCTGCTGACAGGACAGTATGACTCCTGCTTGCCTAATTAATAATGATATCCATGTTAAGTGAGAGTAATAAATTTGTCCATGGGAACTGAGCATGGCTCATTAAGCAGGTCCTTCCAAATTAAGGCAGAATACCTCTTTATCACTAAATAGTGACTTTGCCTTCACTTCTGCAGGGGTAATCTCTTCTCTTTTGAAAGACTGCTCTTTCCAGAAGCAGCACCACTTCTTTTTGATTACTTGTGTCGTTTCATTTTAAGTAGGATGAGTGCATTAAATACTCATATTTTGGCTATTATTTAAATCTGCTAAGATGCAGGAGGCCCTCACCTCTTGTGATAGTCAGTGAGAGTCTATTCTACAAAGTTCTCTGAGACAGAAAACAAACATTTGCCACTTTCATGCTCATGGCATGATTTTTACTCAGGAGATGCTCAAGAATTTTCTGGAAGTCTGATTTACCTATAAAGTTATGGGTAAATGTAATATAGAGAGTGGCACATATATTTTTGCCATGGAACTGTAAATGTTAGTGACACCAGTGAGCAGTTTTTGACATGAATAATTCTTGTAAGATGTTTAAAACCATACTACATGTACCATAGTTTTGATCATACTACGTGCAAGACTTGCAAGAAAAGACTTGCAAGAAAATTATATTTCAGCAGTTAAAATGAGGTAAGTACTCATGTCTCTCATATTAATTATAACAGTTCTTCAAAACACATAAATGAGAAAATATTTTCTTTGTTAACTAGTTCAGACAGTTCTACCAAAAGAATCGGTCCTATCATAATCAAGATTCAAACCTAAC